TCCCATTTGCCAGCATTTGGCCCATATCTCTCTAAACCCTTCCTATTCATATATCCATTGAGATGCCTTTTAAATGTTGTAATTGTACCAGCCTCCACCACTTCCCCTGGCAGCTCATTCCATACACACACCAACTTCTGCATGAAAAAGTTTCCCCTCTCACCTTAAACCTATGACCTCCAGTTTTGGCCTCCCCCACTCTGGGGAAAAGGCCTTGTCTATTTACCCTATCCATGCCCCTGATGATTTTATAAATCTCAATAAGGTCATCCCTCAGCCTCTGACACTCCAAAGAAAATAGCCCCAGTCCATTCAGCCTCTCCCTATAGCTCAAACTCTCCAACCCTGGCAACATCCTTGGAAATCTCTTCTGAACCCTTTCAAGTTTCACAATATCCTTCCTATGGCAGGGAGGCCAGAATTGAATGCAGTATTCCAAATGAACTAATCAATCTCGATGTTGTGACTTCTCAATATGGAATGATAGCTGGTGAATTCAGCTTTTTGCCCCCATGTTGCTCAGCACCAAAAAACATATCATGATCACCGCCATGGTCACCACAAGGGAAGCTTTGGAAACCAGAGTGGGCACCCTTATGGTGTAATGTCAGGGTTCATGGGGCAGGGAGGACAGTGAAGGTGAAGTTCAGTGTGGTGGGTCTCCACATTGGGGAATGGATGGAAATGGACAACACAGGTCTCGGTGCTCAGTGGCCTTTCAAAGATGGAGTGGGTGGAAGAGATACTAGTTTATCAGCAGATACCTGGTGAGTGCGAGTTCTTCAGGAACAGCATGTGGTAAGATGTGGCTAGAATCAGATGTTAGGGATATCAAAGGGGTGGGTAGGTGATTAATGAGGCACATTGGTAAAATACATCGAGAAATCTTGCTAAGCCTCGTGGTGAGTAACGCTCCAAAAAGCTTGTGTAATTCACGATTAGCCAAAGGATTGAAAGAGTCAGCCCCGTGTTCCTTTTGCTGAATTAACTCTATCGGCTGAATCTTATTTTTCTTTCTAAGTCTGAATTGTGTCGAACATTTAGGAGGATTTGTGGCCTTCGGCCTGCAAGTTCTCTTGGAACTTGGCCGGATCTTACCAAACTCACCACAGTAATTACCTACCCTGTCCATGGCACCCCTCCTTTCTGGCAATGTTAGTGTTCATCGCACACACTCTGCTGACTAAACATGGACCATCCTTCAAATTGCAATCACTATAGGCTTTGCTTACGAGTTTTTGCCAAATCAGGTGCCCCCATTTTTATTTTTAAAATTTCCATCTCAACCAAAATATTTTACTCCTAAAGCACATGAATCATGAATTAGGCATTTTCAAATGCTTTCTAAAAGTCAAAGGAGTTCAAATTCCCCTCCTTTATTTTGTCATGGATTGGAACGAGTAGAAACAGGATGTGAAAACAGAATCTGCATGAGGGTAGAGACAAGACCACATCCTGTGGCATGGCCAATGACCATTCCACACCACAAACAGTGCTCCAGAGGAAGGGCACAACTGGCACACATGGCAAATGGGGAGATGGTGGAAAAGATCATCGAGATGCTAAAGGCTCAGATTAGGTGCCTAAACAGAAGAAACTCCTACCTTACATTCCCAATAAACATTTTAGTGGTGTGCTGTATAATGCTGTTTTACCCCCCATGGGAATGGCTTAACATGGACAAGAAAGCAGGCAGAACTGAGTTACCAAATCTATTGAGAGGATCAAAAGTCAACATTGGGGAAGGGTCAGTATGAAAGATTGGTGTAAGTTGACAATAATGTGAGGATGCATACCATTGGTTTAGCTGAGATGGGGGCACAAGGAGGTATCTTAACAAAGAGGAATAGGTGCATGTACAAAGTATGTTGTTCTAAGGAGTGTGCGCAGGAAAACAGATGAGAGGTCAGCGTGAAGGGGCTGGCACTTGAATGGACTGTGTGTATCTCTGTTGATGTCACAGGGCAAGCACTATTTAGGAGTAATTGGAAAGGGAAGAAAAAAGTTGCATTGTTCCACATGGAAAATTACTTGTGTGTTCAACGTTGTATTAAACTGTCATATTTAGGACCAAATTTTAGCTAAGGAAACAGAAATCAGAGGCACATTAGTTTCTGGGTTGTAAACCTGCACCTGACAGAAATCAGTCAAGGCTTCTGATGTTAGTGGAGGCAAAATAGAGAGAGGTCAGTAGTGGTGACCAATGACCAAAGGAATAGGAATGGAAGTGAATCAGCCAATGTCCTGAAACAAAAACAAAGTTGCTGGAAAAGCTCAGCAGGTCTGGCAGCATCTGTGGAGGAGAAAACAGAGTTAACATTTCGGGTTTGGTGACCCTTCCTCAGAACTGTCGACAGTTCTCAATGAAAAGATCGAGTGCAGGTAAAAGGCCGGAGGGAGGGGTCCAGGTGGAGGGACAGTGTTGGAGTTGGGCAAAGGGGTCTGTGGGAGGGGGAGAGGACTCTTGTCCAAAGAAATGAGCACAGAAGCGAAGACGGCGGAAGAACAGTTCGGCGTCATGTCGTGCCCGAAATTCGTTAAGGTGGGGACACAGAGGGATAAAGCTGAGGCCTTTGCTGAGTACAGAGTGTTCAGCATCAGAGAGCGGAAGGTTAGGAGGGATGGTGAATACCCGACAGGAGGTGGAGAGGTTGGGGGAGGGGATAGAGTCAGAGGGAAAGGGAGGAGAGGTAGGTTCCAGAGGGCCGTGGGTATTTTTGAGTTGTTGCATCTTGTGGGCCTTGATGCCTGAAAGGAAAAGAAAAAGTTTCTTGTTAGCACGACGAATGAGCCGGAGGATGAAGTGGAACTGCGGAGTGCTGCAGCCCTGAGCCAGTGTGTTACAATGCTGTTGGAGAGAGAGGTTGAGAGTAAGCATGTGGCACAGCATGGCACTGACTGTGGATCTCAGGATGCGGCGAGAGCAGCTGTCCATGGAACGTTGAACATCACGGAGATATCTGTGATCCTGGGAGGATTCAAAACATGAGGGATGAAACTTCAGTTGAAATCCACGTGGGGTGAGTCTGAGCCGGAGGCAGTCACTGAGGAATGTGATATGGCTGTGGAAACGAGTTTTAGCAAATACCTGGTCAAACACCAGGAGTGACAGTGAAATTAAAGTCGGTGAGCAAGAAGAGAGATTGGAACGGAAATCCCGTCGGAGAGAGGAGCAAAACTTTTTCAAGGTGGGCATGCCTGGAAGAGATGTGTCAGTGAGTTAAATACTAAATAAAAACCAACAGAACTGTGGATGCTGTAAATCAGGAACAAAAACAAAGTTGCTGGAAAAGCTCAGCAGGTCTGGCAGCGTCTGTGGAGGAGAAAACAGAGTTAACGTTTCAGGTCCGGTGACCTTTCCTCAGAACTCAGCCAATATTCTGGCCTGACTCAGCGGCCATTGCTTTAGTGGCAATCTGTGCATGGCTTATAAAATATAAAAAGATCACGTTAGATACAGTGCTGGAAGGCAAATATTAACGCCATAAAATGTCGTTGCTGTGGTACAGATTTTCATCAAAATTTGAACTTTTTCTCAATCTAGTAGAATTTCATCCAAGCTGCCAGCAGTTGTATTTTTCAGATACAGGCAAACATTATTGAAGTAATTTTTTTACATTTCCCTCACAGATGGCATTATAACAAAATTCTGACATTTTGCAAAATACTACACAGCTTAACTAACTTCTCCAACCTCACTAGTTTTGACATTTGTCAGATTGTGCATAAATTCAACATTTACCAACTCACTTTAGCTACCAGACAAAACAAAGTACTCTTTACCATATGTGTCAAAGAAATCAAAACGTCATCACTCTCAAGATTTTCTTGTGCTTGACTGTGGAAGGATTAGTTAGCTCAGTTAGCTGGATGGCTGACCTCTGATACAGAGTGACACTAACAGTGTAGGTTCAATTCCTATGTTGGCTGAGGTCCTGCCTCCTCAAGCTTGCCTGCAGTAAGGCTTGCAAAACTATGTGGGATCCGAACTGGGTAGATAGAGAGAAACTAATCTTGTTGATAGGAAGTAAATCAGAGAACATTAATTTAAGGTGACTTTATTTTATATTCGCTCATGGAATGTGGGCATTGCTGTTTGGTCCAGCATTTATTGCCCAAGAACAATTGGCAAAAGTATTAAACATTACATAAGGTAAAACTTTTGTGCAATAATTGAATGGGGGAGGTCACTGACTAGTAATCCAGAACCCCAAATTAATGTTCTTGAGATACGGGTTCAAAGCCGATAATGGTAGATGGTGGAATCCGAAAAAAGTAAAAATCTAGAATAAAAGCTAACCTAATGGCACACACATAACCACTGTTGATTGTCATAAAGACCCACCTAGTTCAATAAAACCCTTTCAGGAAAGATATGTGCTGGTCTGACCTATTTGTGGCTCTAGGTTTACAACAATGTGATTGATTTTTATCTGCTGTCTGGGCAATTAGGGATGGGCAATGAATGCTGCTCTAGCCAGTAGCACTCACATCCCGTGAACAAATAACAAAAAAACATGATTACAACTTGGAAAGCTGGAGAGACAGTCTGGAGGAAATTCAATCATGGCTTTTAAAGGGAAACTGAATAAGTACCTGAAGGGAAATAACTTGCAAAGCTGCAGGGAAATGGAAATGGAACTAGCTAAATTGTTCTTATAGAGAATCAGACCAAAGTCAACAGGCCAAATAGGCTTCTCCCATCCTGGAACCATCTATGATTCTATTATATAATCAAAGTTTATAACAGTCTAAGTCACAACCTTTCAAATGATAAATAATAATAAAAAGAAAAGGACTTAAATTTTTACGGTGTCTTTCAAGATATCAAAACATCCCAAAGCATTTTACAGCCAATTGAAATGTAGATGCAGTGTTTTAAGGGAGGGAAATGGTTAAAGCTTTTCTTTTCTTTCAGAACTATTTCCATAATCTACTTGCGATACGAAGATAGAATGCAACTAAAATCTCATAATATTATTTAATTGTATTTATTTCAGCAACAGAACACTCCAGATAGCCAAAGGTGGCAGGCATACCAATCACCAGCAGAAAGGTAAAGCTGCAATATATTGTTGCTGAGAATTTTATTTTCTACTCCAATTAATAAAATCGAGACTTGGTACAGGGCCATCAACATTTTGCAGTCCATATTTTTACAGAATCAGAGTGAAATTGAATGTAAGTGAATGAATTCTATAAAATCAATAATTTCACTAGCTATAAATAGAATTACATGTATGTTTATTCATTTCTCTTAATTATCATGGTTACCTTATTTTATCTTTTAGAACTTCTGGTTAGAGATAGTCTGGCAATGTTGAACTATTTCTGCATGAACTCCTATAGCAGACAATTTGTTTTGTTACATGTATATATATATTACAAGATCTGAACATTTTGATGTATTGCCTACTGCACGGCCCTTTCCATTGGATAGGTGTAAATGCAGTTAGTACAATAATGGCTGCCTGAAAATGAGCATGTGCCAATCTTAGTGCCATGCACAACTGAAAGTTGGCAACAATGATAGGTTTTACACTTCTTTTGAGAAGTTAAAGACTGAAGAACTTTCAGGAACTCCAAAAGGGGATAGTGAGGAAATTGAGAAGTTTAAAATATTGCTTGGTGTAAATGTTGCATTTAGCTATGCAGTGAGTCTGCAAGGTATCTAAATAAAACATGGAACTGAAGGCATATTTGGGGACAATTAGGAAATTCAATCCTACCAAAGACTGCCAGTGTAATTATGAACAAAGGTTACTCATTTGGCTAAAGCAACTAAAGTAGGAGATGAGTAAATAGTTTGTTCTAACCATATTGGGGTCAGATACTTTTGAGGTGATATCCAACCAATGATTAGTGTGAGACTCCAGTAATATGTGTTTTTCCATAACTGATGTGACTCCAGACTCATTCTATGACATGAATGGGAGTGAAATTGCACTGAGAGTTGCGATCTATGTGTCTGTTATCTCAGAAGGAGAAAACCAGAATTCCCAAATCAAATTTCCTTACTAAAGACTGATGTGAAACTGACAAGTTATTCCATTAAAAGTATTCCATTTCTGGGCCAAGTTATTGTTAGAGTATAAATCAATGATTTGCCATTATTAGTCATAGAAAGAAAAAAGATATCCCTGATAGGAAAGAGTTGTTTACAATATAACCAGTAAATATTGAGGAAATGGGTATAGCACAAACCCAGTAATCAACCTTGGAAAAACCTTCTCAGGCCTAAAGAAGAATAAAATCCAGATTCACCTTATGAAGAAAAGCAACAAGATAACATAGAGGAAGAACTATGATGAAGCCACAGCTGTGGAATTGGCAGGCAGGAGGAGTTCCAAATACCCAACCTCACCCAAGGAGGGTATTTTATTAGCCAGCAAAAGAGATCTGCCCGATTTCAGCAGAGTCTAAACTATGAAAGCCATAGTCATGGTCCCTGTCAGAAATTTAGATGCTATCACTGCCATAAAAACTACCATTTAGGCCCTGTCATTCTTAGTCAGTGTTTTGCCTGAAGGGAAGTCAGTCTTGTCCAGATGGGATGAAGGAGTAGAGGAAGCACTGGTACTCCAGGTCATGGTAAAGCTTTAGGTCACAGCCATGTAACCAGGTCAAGTTCATGATGGATCCAAAGTTTGGTCAGGAGCCTGGATATCCTCGAATCCGATATGATAAATGTGAAAATAGTAGTTGACATTACTGAGGAGAAGGTCCAAGATTTGTACTTTCCAAGTGAAACAGTACTTGGAAGGTGAGAGTAAAAGGACTAAAGAAATCATCCAGCATCCACAGTAAAAGTGAAATTTGGAGACTCCTAACATACATTCATTATTGATGTAGCTCAATGTGTCACTAATCGCGGAAGGAGAAAAAACAGAAGTCCCACAAAAGACTGAGATAACAAGGTGTATAGCTGGATGAACACAGCAGGCCAAGCAGCATCAGAGGAGCAGGAAAGCTGATGTTTCGAGTCTGGACCCTTCTTCAGACAAAAGACTGGTGTGAAATGGATGAGTTATTCCAATACCAGTATTCTAATTCTGGGCCAAGTTATTGTTAGAGTGGAATACAATAATGCATCCGATGATATGCCATTGTTAGTCATAGAAAGAAAAAAGGTATCTCTGATAGGAAAAATTTGCTTAGGGAAGATACTGCTCAAGTGGGTTGAGTTATTTACTGTAATAATCAGTAAAGGCAGTCTATTGTTGAGGAAACGCTAAAAGGGTCCATTAGCCAACTGAACAAATCAGCCCTCTCTGGCTATAGTGAGCAGATTAATGTTGAGCCCAATGTCACAAGTGCCTAAACTGTTGGCGGCTTACAATTTTTCAAAGCCAGAAGTGCAGGTGTCAAATAAGAGTCCACATGATATGAGAAAAGTCTGAAATATTCTGATTTCATGATATTGATAAAATAATGAACCATTGATTTTCAAATTCCATCAACTGCTTTTGCTTAAAAAGAACATAAATCTTAGTTGTGGCCAGACAAGGAAGTTGAAAAGAGAGGAGCTGATTCACTCTTCCTTACCTGGTCATAACAATGAGAAAGAATGAAATCAAATATAAACTAATACCACCATATCACACTGCATCGAATATACTAAAAGAAGACATTTACAGATTCCAAAGAGTCTTTATGGTGACATTTTCTAGGTTACACACTAGGCAGTAATTTCCATGTTTCTCTTCAACACAGGCTGAAGACTTTTTTTATTCTCTGAAAGAATAACCCCAGTCTACAGCAGGTTGTTAACATTATGAGTTGGTGTTTAAAGATGCTCCTGAGACAAAGTTTCTTTTACTTAAGCTGACGTCAATAGCGAAGTAAAAGAAAAGCAAGATACAGCGAAGATGTGTTATGGTACATGAGGCCTGAAACTTAAGAGAGTTCAATGCTGTTCAGTACATCATGTAAAAATCCATTGAGGTGATCACTATGTGCTGAGTGTTGTTGGGGACAGACAGGTCCATTCACATGTGTGAAGATTAGAGATTCTGTCAAAGTCATGTACGGCATTGGCTTGGAAAAGAAAATCTGACAAATGGTAAACTTCCAATAGCCCAAATTCAGCCCATAATCCTAAGTGAAAGTCAGAAACGCAGTACCAGTCAAAAAGAAACTGAAAGTTTGCCAGAATTGCAGAATCCAACAGTGCAGCAAACTGAATCAGACTCTGAATAAGGCAAGTCAATCAATGCCGCACTCTCAACCTCAAGATGTCAGTCAAAGTTCATATTTGACGAGTGGAGATGTTGAAAGATCAGTCAAACTAATGAAAATGGAAGTAGGTACTGAGACAGAAACTGAATAGTTTAATTGAGCACATGTTGCAAGGATGACGGAACTGCACTGCTCTTTTAAACATTTCTTGTCAAATGATTACATTTTTATGAAAGGCATCCTGGTGTTAAGGAAAATCAATTTTGGTACATACAAGTTATTCTGAAAGCATTGGTCAGAAATGTCTTGTTTGTAAAAACAAATACGCAATCCTGTCATGGTGGAGACAGGTTCAATTGAGGCATTCAAAAGAGCATTAGATAATTATTTAAACAGAAATAAAGTACAAGCTTATAAGGAAAAGGCAGGAGATTGGCACTAAGTCAAAACACTCAGAAAACTAGTATAGACACAATGGACCGATCATACGTCTTTCCACATCATAACAATTCTAAGAACCTTAGTTTTCTGGTACAGTTGATATTAGTTTCATCCTATTATGTTTTTGGAACTCATGGACCTTTACATTGAAATACGTTATGGGACAAGTTGTTACTTTTAAATGGGGAGGGTATGTAGAAAATTGCAGAATCTGAATGTTTGTTATAATGACCTCTTTTTTGGGGAGGTGAAATAAAGTTAGTTCAATGGCTGCTTGCAGTTGGCCGTACATTAATCTTACTTAGTCCAATGCACAACAGTTTATCATAAGAATAAAGAAATACACACTGGTGTTTTGGAAAAAAGGTGAATCAGAACTGGATGCTCAAATATGACCACACAGGGCGCAATGTGAATGTGAAAAATTGTGCAATGTATTCTCATGCCAGCTGATACATTCCTGCTGAAAATTCTTTTTTAAAGAAAGCAAGAGACAGTTTTTTGAGATTCTCAATATCATTTAAATGCATGGTATAATATATACATGCAACTAAGCTTGCAAAAAACCAGCATTTCGATCTTGTAACCATAATACAAAGCATTTGGTCATTCCATAGACAGAAGCTCAGTTCCAGAGAGGTTGAAAATGAGAATGCATTGATCCAGGAGAAGCACTACCCTCCTCGTTTTCTACAGAAACCAGATGAGAATATGCTAATTCAGCAGTATGGACTCTGCAGAATAGATTGCAAGGTATGTTATTCCAATTTAAAAGTCTTCTAATCCCTACCTAAAATTACTACAAAATTATATTTCTTTCTGGCAAATCATTGGAGAAAGCAAATGAGACAACCCTTGTTCTTGTTGATATTTATTGCGCAGTTAGTAAGTTAAGTCAAAACAGATAATTTTAGAATTGTTTGCTAGGTCTTAAAAAAATCTGGGTGAACGGTACCCCCACTTTATTTCTGTTTTACATGCAACTCCATTAAGTTGTGTCCTTTAACTCTAACCCCAAGATAGGAAACAATTTTTAATCTTTTAAATTTATACCAATATAAATGTAAGTAAATATATAAATTAAATTTGCAACGGAATTTCAAGTTTAAACAAAAAATTGCAGAAGCTTGAAATCGGGAACAAAAATAGAATACACTGGTACACTCAGCAGGTTGGGCAGAACTTGTGGAGAAAACAGATGAATTATTTTTAAGTGCTGGACCCTCATCAAAGCAAGGAATGTTACAGGTTAAGATGGTATGCGTCAGTTCTTGCCATGGATGCTTTGTGTTTCCAGTATTATCTGTTTAAATTTACAGTTTATCTGTAGTTTTTTTTTCTTTGCTGTCAATATAAAACAAAAATTACACATCAGTTTTTTTAAAATTTATCTACTTTAGCTCCTTCGACAGTGTGCATGTAAGAAACTGAAAAATCCACATTGACAATACCAAGTGTAAGACAATGTACTATGGCTTGCAACAACAACAAAAGCAATTTCCTTCCAGTGCAGCACATTATTTACACTTGGTGCCCTGCTGGTTATTACATCATGATTCTAAAATTCGTGCAAGCACATTTCAGAACTCTAATTAGTACATTTATTATTGCATTTCCAGGTCAGTGGTCTGCCACCTCCAGAACTTATGTGGTACTTAAATGGCCGACCTGTTCAACAGGATCTTGGCCATAAGATGCTTGTATCAGGAAAAGGCGTACACTCACTCATCATTGATGCAGTGACAGAAAGTGATGCTGGGAGGTACGAATGTGTAGCCATCAATCGTGCTGGCCAGTGCAGATTCACAGTAAACCTTGAAGTTGAAGGTGAGCATATTCTTTAAATGCTTAGATTACAGAAAAACAAGGTTCCCGGTAGCTAACAGCAGGATGTCAATTAGTCTCATTAACAAGCCAATTGTTACTCGTGAACACTGAACACACTACAACTTAGTGGGGACTCATGGATGAAATCGGAGCCACACAGTTTACCCACACCCTTGGAATGCTGCAAACCCAGTCAGATTTGCCAGTTAGCTCCCAAGGGTTTGTCTCATGCCACCACCCACCTCCGCCACCAATGCAATACCCACTTAGTGCTGCCCATCCCACCTCCACTCACCTTTGGTCTGAAGTTCCCTGATGATCTCAGGTGCATTGCTGCCAGTTAGCATCATCTCCCGCTAACACTAGTGGCAAAGAACAGCTACCAGCCTCTGACTGGCCAGCAGTACTGTCCAGGCAGGACTTCTGCCACCATGGACCACATTCCTGGGCAAGGCCTGATGGTAGTTGCTTAAGAGCCTTAAGAATATTTGATTGTTTCAACCCGACAATGGAATTGATGGTCTGTAGTCATTCAAGACAGCAGCTCACCACCACCTTCTCCAGAACAAGGAGGGACGGGCAATAAATGCTGGCCTTGTCAGTGATGTCCACATCCCGTGAATGAACTTAAATGTAATTAAGATGATTGTAGGATTTGATATGATAGATTACGAAAAACTATTTCCTCCCAGTTCAGAACAATGTGGTGAGAGAGTGGATGGGAATAAACCAGGCTGTTTAGGAGTGATGTCAGGAAGCACAAATAGAGGTTCAAAACAAGAACTCTGCCCCTTAAACAGCATTTGAAGTTAGACTAGCTGAAAGTCAACACTGATATTGATAGATTTTTGCTAGCCAAACACATTAAAAGCTGTAAAACACAGTAAACAGATGCAGTTTAATATACAAATCAGCCATGATATTACTGACCAGCTGAACTTGCAGTAACTGAATGGCTAACTAATCTCTGTGCTCTCTGCTTTTCAATCTAGACTTGAGTATCATTGTGAAGACTTGTACATTTGAGTTAACAGCAAAAAAGGGGGGAGTCATATGGCTAGTAATGGCTAATGTTTAAAAACATCTAACACAGAATTAATTCTATCTTCTTCCATATCTTTGACAGTAACTAAAATTACTGACAAATTCATATTGCTCGTTTGAGTCATGATACGCCCAAATTTTACTCTCTATTGAGGTCACTGGGCAGAAAAATCAGATGAGTTATAGAATGAGAGAACAATAGACCCAACAGCATCCCAGCCACTATTCAGCCAAAATTACCTCCTGCAAATTAGTTCTGTCAATTCATGCCAGGTGTTCTGATTCATTGTACTTGATCTAAAAGTAACTTAGGTCTCAGGGAAAAAACAAAATTTAGATCCCTGTTAGAGACAACATTTATTCAGTGAGGAAAATGCTCTAAGAAATGGAATTGAGAATGTGCTGTAATATCTGACACATTAATTTATAAGTTGCTGCTAAAGGTAAAATTTCATTAAGATCAAACCTATGACCAAGTAATTCATGTTGCAATTTTTTTCTTAAAGTACGAGGACCAATACAGGCACCAGAATTTGTTTACAAGCTCCAAAATGCAAGAGCTGTTGAAGGAGGGAAAGTTAAGTTGGAATGCCTGGTGACTGGACAACCACAACCAAGAATCTTCTGGAGAAAGGATCATGAAATGATCAAGCAAGACACCAACAGAATCAGGTCATTATCAAGTTTTATAACTCCAGTGCGAGATGTATAAAAACTCACTCAAAAGCTGCAGAGAGTCAGGGCTGGATTTTCCTCTTTGATGTGGTAATTGTGAGTCAGTCCATTTCCTGATGTTGTAATTCCCATCTCTAGCCTGGTCATGCCTGCCATGCTATTTTGATAGTGGAGTGATGGGTGTGGGCTGGGGTCAGGGCTGCTGCCTTGCAGTCCTGAGGTGAAAACAGAGGCAGAAAGATGTCTTTCCAGGCACATGGAAAGGGCTACCTTCATTTTCTAGAACATCAGCCCAGTTGAGTAAATGGGATTGAGGCCTCCTAATCCTTGCCCCTCACCATTTACAATCTCACCTGCTTGCCCTTGTCCTTTACACTTTCTTGTATCCCCATATACCTCTTAGCCCATGCCTGCTTCACTCCTACTGGCCACATGTATCTAATAATAGCATTGAGAGGTCTTTGAGATGCTTGCAAACTGTCAAAACAAACTAAACATTAATGTTGAATCAGAGATAGTAGGAACTGCAGATGCTGGAGAATCCGAGACAACAAGGTGCAGGGCTGAATGAACACAGCAGGCCAAGCAGCATCATAGGAGCAGAAAGGCTGACGTTTCGATGATGAAGGGTCTAGGCCCGAAAGGTCAGCCTTTCTGCTCCTATGATGCTGCTGGGCCTGCTGTGTTCATCCAGCCCTGCACCTTGTTGTCTCAAAACATTAATGTTCGTTATTCTACTACAACATCACAAAACTACCATTAGAGCTGAACATATTTAAGCCATTCAAATCATTCAAGGAGCTCAACAATTTGTTCATGCTTTGAAGCAGTCATATTATATCACAGAAGACACTTTATCCGGGAGATAAAGTAATCTAATACATCTGAAGTCTTTTCCATTTTCAAACGGTGTTCACTTTCTTTATTTGAAAAAGTCTTTCAGCAATCATTCCATTAAAAACAGATTTAAGTTATTATGTTGTATTGTCACTCCCATGATGGAAACATGGCACTGGAGCTTCTGGATGCCACCTCATGACCTGTACCCATATCCCACACAGTTGAAGAGATAGTAAGAACTGCAGATGCTGGAGTCAGAGATGACACAGTGTGGAGCTAGAGGAACACAGCAGGCCAGGTAACATTCTCCTGACGTTATTCCATGCAGTTGAAGATTGACAGCAATGGGAATATGGTCAGGTATTCCAGAATCAGTTATTCCCCATCATTTTTAAAACCCAATTCTCCAGTTGGGAAAGCACATCTCAAATTAGAGATTATGTTTTGCATTTTGGAAGCACAGGTTTCAGTTCCAATGCATCACCAGGAACGTTGGTTGTGTGTCCCAGAGTAATTGGTGGATTGTATCAAATAGCTATCCCTTTGGCAGGTTGCAGTAGACACAGTACTGACCCTACTCATCCAATTCACACTTACAAATTTCAGAACATAGTGTCTATCATTAGATATGAGTCTCATGTCGCATGGTACTTACTAGACATTCCTGACTGTTAAGAATCACATTATCAACCAATTTAAGATTATAATACATTCCCATGATATGTCTCAGCTTTTCCAGAAGCTACATATATTAATCTGCAGAGACTTGACCTCTACATGACAAAGGAATATATCCCGTCAGAGCAAATTTTTTGAATCAACAGAAGCCCGGATTTTGGGGTGGGGGGATGCAATGGCTCCCTGGTGCTCTTGCCAAATAATCAGCAGCCCTTTCCTGAGGCAGCATAAATTGTTGTCCACTTTGAAAATTGGCATTCTCATGTTTGTTCCAATGAATGCAAGATTAAAAATTTTGACAGCACGTTTCTAGTGAATTTTGATATTTGAGAATTCAATTAAAATTATTGTACATAATTTTAATAGCAATTTTATAGAGGTTTTAATCTTTGTATTACAGCCTATATCATAGTAACGAAGGTAAAGTTGGCCTCGAAATTTTCCCAGTCGATAAATGTGATGCTGGGTGGTATACTGTATCTGCCCAAAATGAAGCTGGGTCAACAATCTGCACAGCAAGACTAGATGTCGCTGGTGAGTTGCCTTCAGAATCAATTCACTAGGAATTTAGATAACTCTACGGATAAACTTTGGCAATGCTCAAACGTGGTTTTCTACAAATGGATTCCAAGTGATAATTTGTCAAATGCCAAAGAATGGCCCTAGTGTCATCCATGTTTAAGGCGAACCAATTTGGTAATGGAGGCACAAAACAGGCATTAACCCCCGATTTGTAAATATGCACCCAAGCCAGTCAGGAGCTCCTGATTCTATTTATTAGGATTGAGTCTTGAATGGGCAGGAAGAGGCAACTAAGAAGATGGCGGTCATGTTTGCTCTTCAGGATCTTCTTCAGAGAACTGGCAGTTCTGGAGGAACAAGATGAAGCCCATTATCATAGAGTCGTATAGCGTAGAAACAAGGCCCTTCGGTCCACCATGTCTATGCCGACCAACAAATACCAAACTTCACAAATCCCATTTACCCTCACATAACCCACTATACTCCATGGCCTACTATGCCCGGGCATTTTAAGTACTCATCCATATGCTTCTTAAATGTTGTGAGAGTATCTGCCTCTACCACCCTCTCAGGGAAAACATTCCATACAGCTACCATCATCTGAAAGATTTTTTTTCTCTCAGATCTCCTCAAAACTACTTACTCTTCACCTTAAACTTATGCACTCTGGTCTTAGACACATCTGCCATGGGGAAAGGGTTCTGATAATCTACCTCGTCTATGTCTCTCATACTTCAATTAGACCGAATCTCAAACAGCTTCCTCTGCTCCAATGAAAATAAACCCAGCATATACAGTCTCTCCTCATAAATAAGACTTTCCATCACAGGCAACATCCTGGGAAATCTCCTCTGCACTATCTCCAGTGCAATCATATACTCCGATAGTGTGATGCCCAGAACTGTACACGATATTCCACTTGTGGCCTAAACAAGGGTTTATAAAGTTGTAACAAGACTTCCTTGCTTCTATATTCTATGCCCTGGCTAATGAAGGCAAGCATTCCATACGCCATCTTCACTCCCTATCTGCCTGTGCTAACACCTCCAGGGATCTATGGACTTGTACACCTTTGTTAATCAATATTCCCTGGGGACCTACCATTCATTGTATATCCTTCCCTTATTGGACCTCCCAAAATGCATCACACTCGCACTTATCAGCATTAAATTCCATTTGCCATTTCTCTGCTCAATTTACCAGCTGGTCAAAGTCAGATGTAGCCTGAGACCATCCTCCTCATTATCAACAACACCAGCAATTTTTGTGTCATCTGCAAACTTATTAATTATATCTTCTACATTCACATCTAAGTCATTGATGTACATAACAAACAGCATGGGTCCCAGCATTGATCCCTTGGTACACTGCTGGTCACAGGTTGCCAGTCACAAAATCAATTATCACTGGAGGTGATCCATCCAAATCTGTTGATGGAACAAAAACAAAGTTGCTGGAAAAGCTCAGCAGGTCTGGCAGCATCTGTGGAGGAGAAAACAGAGTTAACGTTTCAGTTCTGAGGAAGGGTCACCAGACCAGACCTGCTGAGCTTTTCCAGCAACTTTGTTTTTGTTCCTGATTTACAGCATCCGCAGTTCTTTTGGATTTTATCAAATCTGTTGATGGATGGCTAAACCAGTTATGCTCAACTCTGCATCCTTAGAATTGATGGAAGAGAGATGAGAGTCATACAGGGAGGTGATCAGGATTGAAAAAAATGGACAGAAGGACATTGAAGATGGAGTTGAGAAAATGCTTGAACATATCAACAGCTGTAGAAGTATCTGAATAGAAAGTCTCAAAGATTAGTTGGTTGGGATTTTGAAAGTGCATTTGTCAGTGAAACAAGGAAAGAGTTTCCCCAAGGATGGATATGGAAGGAAGTGGAGTTGGAAAAGGGTAGAAGGATGTGGATTCTGAAAGACACAATGAAGTAGCTAGAGATAGCCTCTTCACTGATTAAGACCATGGAAATAGAGAGGTCTTGAGAGTTGGCAGCAAAATTATATTGCTTATCATAACATCAACTGATTTTTTTACATAACTTCAAACAAATTCTAAAAATCAATTTTTACATTTGGTCCCTACAGCTTGGCCAGTGAAACAAGTTCCAAACACTAAGCCACTGAAGGTGCGGCCAACATTTACCCGATATTCAGTGCTTAACGGTCAAGGATTTCTGCCAGATCCAGCGTCCCAATATGCAGCAACATCATACCCTGGTTTAGTAGAGAGTGATGAATTGTGATCTCGTTGTATTTCAACTCAGCAGACAATGTTAACTTTTCAGCTAATGGAATGTAGTATGTTTTATCCGCACCTTATTATACACAAAACAATTAGTTTTGAGTATACATTTACATTTAGTTGTAAAAATGCAAAAATACTACAATATGTAAGTGTTGCACGTTAAGGTTTCTTAGTACATGTACATACACTTAAGATATGCATCTTAGCAGAAAAACATTTACGATATGGTAGTTAATCAGTTGAGATGGATGAGAAAATAATTATATGAAAGTAAACAAGCAGAATAATACATGCTAAAGTGATTTCATGGCATTCTGCTTTGTAAGTGTGGCTGTGGTAATGGATATGAGTAAAAAGTAAAACTCTTTATTGTTTGTAAGTTCTTTTAAATAGCAGCATGTACATGAAGTTCTAAGACCAAAAAACCTTGCATTTAAACCATAAAGCAGACTAGGCTTGTACATATTAGTTTGAAGCAAATAGCTCTCGCAGACTGAGTGGGTGTTAACTTTGTGAAATACTGTTAACTGAAAATGTAGAGCAGTAAACTGACACTAATGGATGAAGCAACATTGTTACAATACTACCAAATGTGCCCGTATAAAAAGCTAGTCTTAAATATAATTTTGACATTTCTTTACAATCTTTGACATTTATGACTAGCGTAAGAGTTCCACTTACCTGGGTAAAAGCAATTTTCTGCCAATTCAGGCACTCAGACCTGGAAAGGGGCAGGCATAAATTCTCAGTGCAGGCCTACATTTGTTGAAATTTGTCTTTCTGCAAAAATTATTCTGTACACGTTATTAAAGGAACGCAGCAATGTGGAAATAACATTTGTACAAGAATACCATGTTATACATTAATTTGCTTGCCTGAGTATGAAGTTGTGTATTCATTCACAATGTTAATTTTCTTGATGAGTATCATCATATCTGCCCTTGAAAATAATATTACTTTCTGAGGGGACAAATGATCCATTCAACAGCATTACCCTTGGATAATGTAAAACTGCTATCAATCAAATGATTGCTGCTAATAACTAGAAACAATTTAACTGGTGAAAATACAAAATCCTATAAGCATATAGTCCAAGCATTTTTTGTGATGCTTTTCTTGAAGAAGTTACAAACCATCCTTGGTCTATAGCAATAACAACAACAATGATTTTTAACTCATTTACCCCACTTATTCCCGGCTTTCCACATTGTAAGTCAGCATCATAATCACAGCTTTCCAGAATAATGGTCAATAAAACCAAGTTTCTTCACAACTTTTGGTAAATTAAAAACATGGAATGTTTCATTTTGCAATTTTTAATCTTTGTTGATCAATAAAATAATCCAATATTTAAAATTTACTTCTGAAACTGCTTAAAATTCATTTAAACAACACTCTGTCAGAAGGCACCATACAAACTGAGTGTATAAATAACAAAAGATGATTTTCATTTGTGTTTTGCTCTGATACATAATGGGTTTCTTAGCTGCTGTTGAGAAAATGCTGAGAAATTTCATCGTGACTGGAAGTGGAGAAAAATCTGTTGGAGGGAAGACACTGAGCCGAAAGCCGCAGGCACAGTGAGCGGACAAAAGGTGAACTGCGGACATCCATACCCTTCCAGGATTTCTATACTCAGAATAACATGCCAGCACTTTTCACAGAAGTGCTGAAGGAGTGTGCCCTTCTGCAGTGAAGTTGTGATAAGGTTGTATTGCCCCCCGCCACAGCAAGACCTGTAGCCTCCTGCCAGAACTAGCACAGCATCAATAGTTGCAATGAAAGTTACTTCTTTATTCTGCAATGACAGATATCAGCAGCATCATAAGTCCACAATGCAACCTGACATAAGGCAGCCTACCGACATGATAGTTTGCTTCAGCGAACAATTATATAATTTTACCAATAGAGACTGGAAACAGCAAATAAAGGCTATAAAGTTTGTTCACATTGCAGCCTTTTCTCAAATTCAGAATGCATATTGCTCAGAAGACCATGCCACCTTCATACATTGCAAGGACTTTCACTCAATTAATACCCAACTGGCAAATGTGATGGCCAGCAGTGGGTATTTGTTTACTATCCTGGCAGCTGTTGCAACATCCTTAGACTTTGTAAATCCTTCATTCTGTCTTTGTTCCTGCATAACAGGTCAGATGCTGACTTCTCTGGGCTAACACATATCCATCGTGAACATGTAATTCATTGCCTTCAGTAAGCTGTACTCACTGTCACTAAACAACCACTGCACAGCTAGTTGCATACTTCCACCACCATCCTCAACAAGTAGGCCATTGGAATGGTGAAGCAAGGATTCTACTGCTTGATAGATCTAGAAATATGCTGCAATGCAGCTTACAAAGATTGTCCTTTATTGGAGTTGTGTGTTGTTAACTGCATAATTAAACTGCCACTTGCAGCCCCCAGTGGTGAAGGATGTTCAGCGCAACAGGAGTGATCACCCTGGTGACATGGAAGATGCTAAGGAAGTTTGGATCCTATGGACTAAATGGCTTCCTAGGCTATATTAATGCTATCATTCTGGTTCTGTTTCTTACCTGCAGCCAGAGCTCTTTAGCAGCAACATGGAATACTGCTTTGGTTGAATAATCCCTGCTTCTAAATGTCTAAAATATCTCCCAGTGTTTCCATCGTCTGATGTACTACATTTGTCTAAAGAATAAATTGATATTAATGTCAACTAATGTAAGCATCGCTCTCTGTTCCAGGAACTGATGTACACATGGAAAGTTTAGAAAGCATTGCTTTTCCCAAATTCTGCTAACTAGTCACAATCATAATGATTACCCCTACAAACTGTTTAACTTGTTTTCTGAACTGGTATAATGCTCCTACCCAGTGAACAAAGAAAGAAGTCACACGACACTAGGTTATAGTTCAACAGGTTTATTTGAAATCACAAACTTTCAGAGTGTTGCTCCTTCATTATCTGACAAACAAGCAGCACTCTGAAAGCTTGTGATTTCAAATAAACCTGTTGGACTATAACCTGGTGTAGTGTGATTTCTGACCTTGTCCACCCCAGGCCAACACCAGCAATTCTACATCATGTCTACCCAAGGAATGCAACATGAGAAATGAAATGCTCCTGTACCTCAGATGTAGATTCTTCTGTTCCTGTTTAAATGCTGTTACTTCATAACATCTTCCAGTTCTGATAAAGATATGTGCCTGGAAAGTTAATTTGTTTATTCTTTGATCTACTATATACCTCCAACATTTCTGTTTTCAGAATTCCAGCATTTTCAGTACTTCGATTTTTAATCAAAATCTATTAGTACAGTGATGTCCAATGGCATGCTGCATAACATTGCTTGACTATTGATCCCCATAACCCTTATATAATGTGGTACTGAACTACAAGAAAGACAAACACTTCTGGTTCAATCCCTTGGTCTGTTCTGAGCAAGCTGAAGTCAATTCAAATAAGTTAATGATAGAATATGACAAATTGGCCTCCGTTTCCTGGAAACTTGAAATCAGTGAAAGTATATAGCAGCCAACAATTGGTTGCAATGATTTTTTCTCATTTGCAGAGAAATTTGGGGTTCCACTGAATATGTACCATACAGTCTATTTTCAAATCTGTTCACGAATTTATTTTAAAATTGTTTATTAATCACCACTTCCTAATTCATTGCGCCACTGCAACCTCACCCCCGAAATATAGCCAGCATTTGCCCCTCTCTCACCTGCTTTCTGTCTGTATTCATGGACTCAGCATTTCCTAATTTGCCACTCACTATGTTTCACAGCTACTATCTGATGAACTGTTGAAGCATGGGGTAAGGCACAACAGTAACCAGGGCCAGCAGTCCTGACAAAACTGCATTCAAGCTACTGCAACTCCCCCTGCTGACGACCTACTGAAATCCACTTTGCAAGTAAAAAGTTACATACTTTGTATTGTGACCTACCCATCCACTGGGAATCTCGATGCAATCTAGTTCTGGTTTATTGTTTGCATTGAGTTTCCAGAGATACCAACTGCATCTATAATTCTTACGAACCACAACTGTAAATCCAGCACAGTAATATTGATGACTGACCTGCCAGTCAATCTAACAAATGGAAATTGAAAGTGTGCACTTACCACAGGAATGGGATCCTTCCTATCGTGTGTCAGGTAACCCTGTTAGCCAGCCCTCGGGCTAAACAAGCCAAAGAAAATTTATCAAAACCGGCAAATAACGGTAAATGGTACTGATTTGGCTGCACAAACCGCATCAACAATCATACTTGAGTATCAACTTAACCATTAGTTCATCGGATTAGATAACAGAGTTGTGTCATAGGGTCATAGAGATGTACAGCACGGAAACAGATCCTTCAGTCCAACTCTTCCAAACCAACCAGATATCCAAAATTAATCTAGTCTGATTTGCCAGCGTTTGGCCCATATCCCTTTAAAACCTTCCCATTCATATAGTCATTCAGATGCCTTTTAAATGTTATAATTGCACCAGCCTCCACTACCTCCTCTGGCAGCTCATTCCATCTCCACACCATCCTCTGTGTGAAAAAAATGCCCCTTAGGTCCTTTTTAAATCTTTCTCCTCTCAACTTAAACCTATGTCTTCCTAGTTTTGGACTTCCCTACCCTGGGGAAAAGACCCTGACTATTCACCCTATCCATGCCCCTCATGATTTTATAAACTTCTAAAAGGTCACCCCTCAGTCTCCGATGCCCCAGGGAAAATAGCCCCAGTCTATTCAGCCTCTCCCTCTAGCTCAAAACCTCCAACCCTGGCAACATCCTTGTAAATCTTTTCTGAACCCTTTCAAGTTTCACAACATCCTTCCTATAGCAGGGAGAACAGAGTTGAACGCAGTATTCCAGAAATGGCCTACCCAAGTACTGTACAGCCGCAACATGACCTCCCAACTCCTATACTCAATGGACTGACCAATAAAGGCAAACGTACCAAATGCCTTCTTCACTATCCTGTCTACCTGTGACTCTGATTTCAAGTAACT